AAAGTAAAGAATCTGGGCTTAATCAAATGAACATTAGGAAACTTGTACATTACTTTGGCCTAGACTGTAACGAGTCTAAGTTTAGGAAAAGTAATCTGGCAGGATGGATAAATAAGGGGAGACAAAGTGAAATTCGGATGTAAGATAACCAGGTAGGTGTAAGACTATTAAGGGACTGAAAAGGGTGTGTGAGAACAAATGAAAAAAGTAGACCTGCCCAAAGGTGGCATATAATCTAAAGGATTAATTGGACAAACACAAGGAAAAAAATACACATGAAAATGACAGTAAGAAACAAGTCCACTTAGTAAGACATAGATTCAGTGACTATAAGGCAAACAGCAAAAAGTTTTAAGAGAATTTAAGCAGAGATGATTAAAGAAATGGAATAAAGAATGAACATCATTTCAAATTAATTGATTTCAAATTAATTTATTCACTACTGACCACCTATTAAGTGCCAGGCACTTATAAAATAGGATCTTGGCTCCACAGTACTCACATTCATTTTGATTCATGACCGAAACTTGAAAAAAATTAAATGAAAATTAAACATGCATACATTATAAAAATGTTTTAGTGGAAAAAAGCTTGGTTTTAAAATCTATGATGCCATAAGCATTCTTCAAACACGAGCACAAGTTAGTATCATACAGAGCTCCCTGTACTAGTTAAGATTCTAAAAGCTACAAGAGATAAAAACAACTTCATACATATTCTTGAGTGATAAAAGGAACCAAATGAGTTTCTGTGCACCAAGAAATTCATAAACGTATTGAATTATGGGCTTTTAAAATAAGTACACACTATATATAAATTCTGTGGCAGGGCAACCTTATTTCAGGGATGAGTCTGCTATACCTTATTTCATGGACAATTCTAACATACTTAAAATCAGACTAAGGGTTTAACATTTCTCTAAGCTTTTCTAGTTTCTAAACAGAAAAAGAAAAAACAATGAAGTTATCTGTTAAAATGTTAACATGGAAAATGTTAACCTCTGGAAGATGAGATTTTGAGTTTTTCACCTTTTCTTACATATTTCCTACAATAGGTATTTTTGAAATCAGAAAAAGCCAAAAAAAATTGATTACCCATTTTAAGTATTACATACTGAATGCTAAGGAGCTTCGAATTGTGAATGAAAACTGTAGGATTTTAAACATGAATTAACATGCCATGGACAAATCTTTGAAGAAATCCTGAGTACTACAGCCTAGAGACTTCATGGGCATCTGAAAACTGCTTCACGCACATGACTGGATGTAAACAAGCGGTTACATATAAATCCTGCATTATTTTGGACAAATATGGATCCTGAGTTGAAGATTCATGTAATCAGATTTTGAATTAAAGTATCTAAAAATGGACAGTCTATCAAATCATGAGCTCCTCCATGTAGAGGACTTAGCTATTACACAAGTAGTTGAACAAAATGGAAGTCTGAGTGAAAGGCAGGGTGCTACAGGGTGTTTGGGGTCACAGACCTAATCTGATTCCCAGCTCCCAACATTTAATAACGATCATTTACTCAAGCAGGTCATTTAACCTCTGAACCTCAGCTTTCTCATCTATAAATTGAAGACAACACTTACCCTACAGAATTATGATGATCAATACTAATGCATAAGCCTGGCACATAGCAGATGCTCAAAACATGAAGCTTGGTTACTTTTATACACTCACTCCTACTCAAGATCCAATGATTCTGTGATTAAAAGCAACAGGATTTAAATTAGTTTAACATGGTGAGATAACAGAATTAAAAAGTAGTACGTCTGGAAAATTAGTCTTTCCTTATCTGTATACTGACCGCTAACACCGGGCACAAGAACACATCAGCATTGCTGCTCTGCCTGGGCCAAGGAAACCGACACAGGGAGAGAACACAAGAAGAGCAGAAGACAGAAGACAGGAAGGCAGAAGAGAATAAAGATCTGGGCCCAAAACTGGAAATCAATACTACTGCCTTTATCCAGGTAAACAGATTTCAACAGAAGAAATAAATGTACCAGAAATGTTAGGATTTCTAGTTTTAAGACAAACTTTATTTGCAGGGGACTCAACTAGCTCAAAATTACAAAACTGGTGTTCAATAAATACCCATCAACTGATATGTACACATTTTACTTCCTAACCTAAAGCTCTTTATAAAACAGGCTAAGTTGGAGACTGGAATACTACTGTAAAAGCTGTACGATCATCAAAGCATTTTTGTGTATTTTGTTCCTGAATTAAGAGGTATATTTAATTCCATTACATGAGCCCAAAAAAGTATTATAAAATCAGAGATCTTACCAGGAATATTCCATGCCCCTTTCACTCATCCATACCTACTCTCAAGCACTTCGGAAAGAAAGAATCCACCCATTTACACCAAAGACAACCACTTCATGCATAAAAAAGGCAAGGAAAAGGCTAGTCATGAGGCATATGAGGAATGAGGCAACACCATGAGGGCAGGGACTTTTGTCTATATTGTTCACTGTTGTCTCCATAGCCATCTAGAACCTTACCCAGCACATAGTAGTTGCTCACTAAATACTTGCTGACCGAATGAATGAATTATTCCTTGAAGAAATAACTTTGGGAAACCAAACCAAAATTATTTTCAGTGTTGTTTTTCTTAAGGCTTGGAAGAGTTCTATTTTTTTTTTTTCCCCAACTACCCTAACGGAAGAATACTTCAAAAGAAAAAAAAAAAGAGGTTTTCTATAGAAATATATATGCACACATATACATGCATGCTTATTCGTATTTATAGAGAAATACATATGACTATATTGCCCAAGTTGAGCCAAAAATAGATAACCCTGAAAAAAACTTCCCATAAAACACTGTTTCAATATAATTTTATTAACAGTTATTACATCAAAATTCACATTTACAGGATCCAAAGGACTGTCTTAGAAAATTCTAAAGTATGCGCAGTAAGATTTCAACAGTAAGACAGAACATATTCTCATTATAGCACAGCCCTTAAAAAGTCAAGAATAATACTGAGAAATAAGTGCAGTTCTATCAAGAACTTTAGAAATGAACTCTTCGTGCATAGTGTCACTTAAAGCAAAGTCCCAAGGAAGTATAATATACTTCTATGGATGTGAATTTCAGTGGCAAACATCATTGGCTTCCAAACAACTGACACTAAAGGAATTTCCAATCAAAACACAAGCACAGTGGCTTTCGTCCAATATAAAGCTATGATAATTCTATAAAGAGACCCTGAATCCTTAAGTACATGTAATATGATTTTATGTTGTGACACTAGTACAAAACACATCAACTCTAATGCATAGTTTCGGACACATTATGACAACAGAATACTAAAGATAGCCTTTTTCTAGATCAGAAAATGCTGTTTTCCAGTGTAGTATACACTGGTCATTGCTGATCTAGTGAAATTCTACATCCTCCAGCTTGAGCAGTATTGTAGGATTCACAAATATTACATTTCATGCCTAATATATGGAACTGGACTGTAGATCGCCCATTGCAATCATTGCAGAGAATCTGAAAAGTGAAGAGATGAATTCAAATTAAGTATATTAAACCTTATAGATGGAAAATGGCATTGTCTGCTCAAAACAATTCCTCAAAAATCATACCGAAGAACTGAAACACATATAGCTAAGTCTAAACATTTCCCTAAATAGAAATGCCTTTTATTTGTTTTCTGAAAACTCTCAGAGACTATTAAGGTAACTTTGAATTTAGAAGATGAAAGTGTAGATTTGAGTCAAGAAGTCTTATTTTAAGACTGTTCCCAAATAGTATAAATAGTACTGAGCACAAAATCTAACATAGGCATAATCTGATTGACACCTATACTTAGAATTCAAAATAACATACATGATTTATTTTTCCTTGACACCTGCAAATTATCTTAGTTAATAAAACAAATCTTTACATAATTTTAATATTTTTGCTCATTCTTTAAGTTTAATATACTAAGTTCTTAATGCCTCAGGAATGAATCAAAGTCCAAAAAAGTATTTCCTAATTTAATAAAAAGAACCTTTTGGCATATCCCCAAAATGACAATTAGATGTCACTTGGGAATTAATCTCTTCTAGTACTGAGATCCCGAAAAATAAAAAAGGGGTTAACCTGAAAATAAATCAATGCATTACTATGTGAGAAAAGCATTAGCTTTAGAAGTCATACCCATAATAAATAGAAAACTTCCAAATTTGCTCAAAATTATAATCTGGAAAATTAAAAATACAATCTGAATGTAGAAAGATTAGTGATTGCCTAGAGCTAGGGGATTGGGGAATGGCTGCTAATGCGTATGGGATTTCTTTTGGGGCCAATAAAAATATCCTAAAACTGATGGTGGTGATGTCTGCACAACTCCAAGAATATACTAAATAGCACTAAACTGTACACTTTAAATAGACAAGTTACATGGCATATAAATTTTATCTCAATAAAGCTGTTATTTGAAAAAATTATCTACACGGAACATAGCACACTGAAGCCTATAGTAAAACATCACATAATTATCAATTAGTATTCTAAAAGTGATCCTTCATTGACCTTACTAGCAATTCAATTATCCACATGAATAAAAAGGGTAATGAACATTAAAAAAACAAATGTTTTTTTAATCATCAAATCAACAAATATGTATGCCTGAAATAAAATTTAAAATAATTACAAATAAAACATAATTAAAATAAAACATCAGACCAGTAATTCACCTCCACTCAGTTCCATTACTGACTGGCTCTGACGAGAAAGGTGTAAATAATTCAGAATAAAGTTTTTGCCTGCCATCTAGTGTTGGGAAGAATTGCATAAAGGTATTCTTAGTATTTTTTTGGTCTGGTCCTGAATTCAAAGTAACTAAAATCAATTTTTGGTCCTTTCCATTAATCATCACATTGGTGTCTATGCCAAAGCAGTATTTTTTAGACAGATTTGAGCAAAAAGGCAAAAATAAACAAGAACATCAACCAGGAACCTAAAAAGTTCTAAGCACGAATTATACTCACATCCACAGTCATGTTCTGATACTCTGATGGCATAGGAGTCTGTGCTACCTCATCATCCAGCTGTCTCCAGTACCGAGTCATATCTAAAGCAGAGTGCATACATAATGGACACCTGTAGCCTCTAGAAGAGATAGAAAGGTTATTTTCCAAACATTAAACAAGGAGTGGATCAACTCAGGTATACAAGATGATGCATGCTAACTGGTACATAAACCATCCAAAACAGAGCATTATTCTGTATTTCAAGATGACCTGTTACAAACCTGGGAACTTTTACACTATAGTTTCTAATTAAATCCTGTAACCTATGGTATTTTTTACACCTTCTTCTTTTTCCTCAGTTCTCTAAAGTGGGAAGGAATTCGCATTCTTCGTAGAATTTATTTAATATATTTTTTATATGAAGTTTTTTTTTAAAGATTTTATTTATTTATATGACAGAGAGAGATAGCAAGAGCAGGAACACAAGCAGGGGAAGTGGGAGAAGGAGAAGCAGGCTTTCCGGCAAGCCAGGAGCCCAATGTGGGACTTGATCCCAGGACCCTGGGATCATGACCTGAGCTGAAGGCAGATGCTTAACGACTGAGCCACCCAGGCACCCCTTATATGAAGTTTTTTATTTTAAGTAATCTCACACCCAACATGGGGCTCAAACTCACAACCCAAGGCCAAGAGTCATATGTTCTTCCAACTGAGTGAGCCAGGCACCCCTATATTTAATATATTTTAAAAACCTGTTCATCATGGAACACTACATCAAAAACTAATGACGTAATATATGGTGACTAACATAATAAAATAAAATTAATTAAAAAAAAAACACCTGTTCAGCTCCTTTTTTTAGCTAAATAACCTCAATTTCTTAATATATTCAGGCAATTCAGATTGTATCATTTTCTTTCTAAAAATTCTGAAGAATTCCCTTCTATCTGGCTCTTAAATTAAAAGTTCTACTTACGAATTTGCAGGACCAAAATACATTTACACAGTCTCTTATCTCCTATTTTCATTTCATTTTAACATCCTTCCCCCACAATAAAGTCTCTGCTTTAGATAATCTTGTTACCAGCTTTCTTTGCAGATGATTATCCGGGCCAATATAATGCTTTAACAGAATTTTGAGCAACATGCCTCAGCATTTTTACAGTGCTATGGATTGCCTTTGGCAGAGCCTGCACCCCTGGTAAGCACAGCCAGAAAAGAAGAGGTAGCTCTTGTGAGTTGTGGGATGAAATTAGGCATAATATAAGCATGGGGACAAAGATGCAGTCCTATATCCACAAGACGCTCTGCCCAATTTAACACTATTCATTCACCCTACCCATCTCAAGATAAATATCTGCCATGCCAGTAAGATGTATCAGCAATGTTAGCCCACTTCCACACCCCACACCAAAAAAAAAAAAAAAAAAATCAGACATCTTACAATTATAACTTCTAAAAATCCCATCAAACACTCACTCTTTCAACATTTCTTCATAACACGTTCTGAAAAAAATATATGACACTATTTTAGTAAAGCAAAAAGCATCTCCACTATTTTCAAACACTTCTGAGGAAAAAAGAATTACTTTACCTATGTAAAAGATGTCCACATGGCAAGACATGAGCAACAACACGGGATGTGTGAATGTCCTATAAAGGAAATAAATGTTAGTGTTTGCATGAAGACAATATAAATATCCAAGTACTTTAAATTCAAGAGGGAATATTTCCAAAAAAATGAAATCTTGCCATTTGCAACGATGTGGATGGAACTAGAGGGTATTATGCTAAGTGAAATAATCAATCAGAGAAAGACAATTATCATATGATCTCACAGATATGTGGAATTTGAGAAACAAGGCAGAGGATCATAGGGGAAGAGAAGAAAAAATGAAACAAGACGAAACCAGAGAGGGAGACAAACCATAAGAGACTCTTCAATCACAGGAAACAAACTGGAGGGGAGAAGGGTGGAGGGACGGGGTAACTGGGTGATGGACATTGGGGAGGGTATGTGATGTAATGAGCACTGGGTATTATATAAGATGAATCACAGACCTGTACCCCTGAAACAAATAATACATTATATGTTAATTAATTGAATTTAAATTTTTAAAAAATTTAATCTCAAAAGATGGAATGTTTTAAAGTTAGTAACGCCTCACAAATTTGCTACTCCCGAATTTATTTTAATATTTTAAGTAGCCTCCACGCCCAACATGGGGCTTAAACTCACGACCCTGATATCAAGACTTGCATCTCCACAGACTGAGCCAGCCAGGCACCCCTTTATTGCAATTTCAACATGACTTTTGCTAAGAAAATATTAGTTCTCTCTCTTTAGATGTCCTCAGGTTTTCTGGAGAATAAATGGATTGTAACTAAAAAAAAAAAAAAGAGAGAGAGAGGGAATATTTCCAAAGCAAATAACATTTTAAGCTTACCTCCAAACATATTGGACAATTCTGCCGGGAAACATTTTCAATACACTGTTTAAAAGAGAAACTCAAGTTACTAAAAGCTTAACTAGATGGAATGACAGTACATATTAATAAAAACCAGTGATAACGAAAACAATGATGCTAACTTACGAAAGATAATAATTAACATTAACACATGTCTCTTATATGTCAGATAGGAACTGAACAGTTAACTCACACAACTATTTCAGGCTTTGCACATTACTTGAAACAATGAAATTACTCAAGAAATTATCTGCATTTTACAAGTAAGGAAAATCAGTGAATCGAGATTTACCAAAGATGCAGAGGTAATAACGTTTGGAATCTTTTCAGCTTGTATGTGTTTTGTTCCAAAGCTACTTAAGGATATCGACAATGATAACGGTTCATGTTACTGAAGTTTACTACATGCCATATATTAAGTACATTACCTGCATTAGCTCAATCAGGTCCCACAACTATAAATGCAGGTACAATTATTACCCCATTTTACAGATGAGGTATTTGAGGCCTAGAGAAGCTCAGTAACTTCAAATGCAGTGGAACTGCATTTGAGCTCCAATAGGCTGCCTCCAGTGCCAGAGCTCTTAACTTGGTAAGACAGGGTGATTAAATGCGGGAAGGTAAGGGGAAGCACCAAGCCATAAATGATGCCCAGGTTTTTTAAGTGAGCACCTGAGTATATGATAATAGGACCATTTACTAAAATACAGACAATAAAAAAATAACTGACAAAGATACCGTAAGAGAAAATGTGCATATAGTTTTTGAAAGACCACACAGCTATCACCCTCCAAACTCAAGCCTATAAAACCAAACTCAATCTTTTAATTCCAGCAAATTCACTGTCCATTAATCAATTACTTAAAGCAAGGGCTAAAAACCTTAAGAGTCATCTTTACTCAGCCCCATTCTTTTTCCCTTCTACCTTGTCACCATATCCCAAATGCTCATTATTCAATTTCTCTTAACATTTGACTATTTTAGGCCAGCATCTATTTAAAAATCCTCATTAATGTTACCTATATCAAATTAAAATAAAAAATTTAACTGAAAAAAATCCTCATTACTCTCTCTAATCTCTGATGTTTTTTAGATTTTTTCTAAATAATGAAAAATAATTTTAAAGGGCCTGGTATCATGTTATAATTAATAGATCCAAAATTTAAAATATTTCTAACTATGAAAGGAAATATAAAAATATTTTCTGAATTTTCTTGAAGTGCTGTTACATTGCTATTGCTTCTTTATTATGCTATTTTAGTTATTCTTTTTTTTTATGACTTCTTATTTATTTATTTGACAGAGAGCGAGAAAGCACAAGCAGGGGGAGTGGCAGGAGAGGGAGAAGCAGGCTCCCCAATGAGCAAGGAGCCCCATGCGGGGCTCGATCCCAGGATCCTGGGATCATGACCTGAGCCAAAGGCAGATGCTTAACTGACTGAGCCACCCAGGCACCCCTCATTTTTAGTTATTCTTAAAACCAGTACCAATGAGATGAATCCATAAACCTACTTAGAAGTTGTCAACATTATGCTAATAACTGATATAAGGATTCTTAGACCCTATGGGGCACCTGGGTGGCTCAGTCAGTTAAGCAGCCAACTCGTGATTTCGGCTCAGGTCATGATCTCAGGGTCCTGGCATCAAGCCCCACATCGAGCCCCATGTCAAGCCCTGTGCTCAGCATAGAGTCTACTTGAAATTCTCCGCCTCCTTTTACCCCTCCCCCTGCTTGTGTGCTCTTTAAATCTTAAAAAAAAAAAAAAGTGTTCATATACACTATACAGAAGAAAAAGAATTGTAGATCAGATATTCTGAGGCATAGGTCTTAGAACACCTACTTAATAATGCTCAAAAATAAAAAGCAACATAGTTGTACTTGGTAATATCTGAAAATTAGCATGCTTCCAAACATATTAGGATTTAAGCTGGTTTTCAAACACAGTATTAATACTTCTTAAATTATGCAAACTTAATTATATACCTTGTGCTTTCCTTGGAGATTCATAGCTAGGCATAAGTTACATTTCAAACAATGGAAAAAGTCTTCCTTTGGACCAATCCTAAAAATATATGTGAAAGCCAAAAAATTAGGTTCATTTTTACTACAATGGCAATTTACTCATTTTTATGTTAAGTTTAGTTTCACTGTAAAGTTAGTTCAAATCACAATGACTAACATGGGGTAAACCCCCACCTCCCCAATATCCACTCCCCAAATGTAAGCACTATGAACAGAATGGTATCTATCCACGTTTTTTCTATAAAAGTATATACACAACACATATACACACACACACACCCTTTGGGTTTTATTTTTTACATAAATGGATTCTTTCTATATATCCTGTTCTGTGACTTTTTTTCACTGAACAACATATCCTGAAGATTATTCTGTCTATATAGAACCACTTCATTCTTCTTCATAATTACATAATATTACATGGTATGGACAGATCATAATTTTTAAAAGTATTCCCATATATAATTTACTACCTTGAGTTAATACAATGATATAAAAAAATATGCTTATACAGGGATGCCTGGGTGGTTCAGTCAGTTAAGCGTCTGCCTTCAGCTCAGGTCATGATCCCAGGGTCCTGGGACTGAGTCCTGCATCGGGCTCCCTGCTCAGTGGGGAGCCTGCTTCTCCCTCTCCCTCTGCCCCTGCTTGTGCGCACTCTCTCTCTCTGACAAATAAAAATAAAATCAATCAATCAATATGCTTATACAGACATCACTTAGCCCATCTGTTGATAATTTTTATAAGATGCCTAAAACTGAAACTATGGGATCAGAGGGTATTACACATCACTGGTTTTGATACTGACAGACTGACCTCCAAAAAGACAATACTAAATTATGCTCCCGCTAACAATGTGTGACAACACCTATGTTCCCCACACCGTAGTGAACACTGGTTACCTAGATGATAGACAAATAAAAGGCGTCATTTTAATTTGCATTTCTCAGGTTATGAGACAGGAAATATATTTTAATGTTTATGAACTATATGGATTTCTACTGTGGATTTTTCATGTATGCTCTGTTCATTCTAGGGTATCTTTTACCATTTTAAAACAACTGTTTATATATCCTGAATATTAATCTTTTTCATTTGTATATTTACCATATCCTGGTATGTCACATCTTTCTTGATTTATATATTTTGTCATACAGCCATTTTAATTCCTATGTACTAAAAGCCACTGATATTTTCTTTTATGGCTTATGCTTCTGCCTCTTGTTTAGGAAAGACTTTTGAAACCTATAGGTTATAAATATATGTATACCTCTAATACTTATGATTTTTAATTTTTATATTTTTCTTTCATCCATTTCAAATGTATTATGCATAATAAAGACAAGATAGCTAGTTGTTCCCAAATTTTTATTATTCCTTTCTTTCACCACAACAAAACACTTAGCTAGGCACAAGGGTGTCCTGAATAAAGACTATTTGCAACTTCTCTGGAAGTTGTGAACAAAAAAGATAGTGAAAATTTTGTGTCATGCCCTTAAAAAGGAAAGCTCAACAAACCCTAAACACAAGCAATATGAAAAAAACCCTATCATGGAACATCATAATCAAACTGCTCAAAACCAAAGATAAAATCTTAAAAGCAGCCAGAAAAAAAAAAAAGGCCTGTACAGAGGAACAAAGATAAGGATGACACCAGACTCCTTACTGCAAACAATGCATAATATATTGTACAGAATACAGTAGAGGAACATCTTTAAAGTATTGAAAGAAAAAACTGTCAGCTTAGAATTCTGTATCCAACAAAATATCTTTCAAAAATGAAAGCAAAATAAAGATGTTTCTAACATACAAAAGCTAGAACAATTCATTACCAGGAGATGCTGTTTAAACAAATCAGTCAATTTGGCATCAGTACTTGGAAGTCACAGTTAGAGGTGATCTGGCAGGCTCTGCAGCTCTCAAACTTCACCCCAACGCACAGTAAATCCTTTTACATCCTAACCCAGTTCTCCCTTCCCCTCTCACACATATATACACATACTCAAAATGCTAATAAAAGTTCCACATAACAATACTTATCCTTACCATGTATTTATCTATTTTTTAGTATTTTTTTAATGGTGGCAGGACTCACTAGATTCGCTTCAATTTAAAATTCACTACTCTATATAATACATCCTCTTTACTTCCATCCTCAATTCCAGTCTCTACCTCCACCTCCACTGTCCCTCACTCCGTTCTTTTACTGCCTTCTCTCAGGCTTGGTTATTTATTTACACCCGGGACCATTCTGATCTATTCAGCCTTGGCCTATCTCTGTTAAAACTTTACTCAAACTTTCCTAAAATTAAGACCACTCTAATCCGTATAATCTGACAAACACTATAGTAATGACTGCTTTTTAAGCCTATTCTTTCACAAACAGAATATAAATTTAAGAACCAGAATCATGCCTTCTATCCAGTCGTGCTCAATACATAACAAAGATTTGTCTGATGCTTATTTAATAACCTGCAGAAATGTGAAAACACACACTTCCTTAAAGTATCATTTTATCAGATGTTTTATTTCCCCACTGTAGTTACAAATTTATATAACTTTTTCAATTTTAAAAGTAATACTCATTCATTATTTAAAATGTGTAAAACCAGGGCACCAGGGTGACTCAGTTAAGTGTCTGCCTTCAGCTCAGGCGATGATCCCAGAATCCTGGGATCAAGCCCCACATGGGGCTCCCTGCTCAGAGAAGCGTCTGCTTCTCCCTTCCCACCACTCGTGCGGCATGCCTGCTCTCTCTCTCTCTCTCTCAAATAAGACCTTAAAAAAAAAAAAAAAGTGTAAAACCCAGAAGAACATGAACCAACAAATATACCAACAAATACCAAATTTAATCATGATCCCACCACTCATTGGTAACTACTGCTACTATTTTGGTATGTATGATATCCTGACAGACATTTTGTACCAATCATTCTCTCAATCCCTAAATATTATTTAAGAACTTACTTTTAATATGGGTTTGTAAATTTAACAATTTTCCAAGATACAGGCTGGTTCTCATTTTTCATTATTATATTTTTGTTATATCGGTACAAGACATAACACGATATATTCTACACATAATTCTTGGTACATATCTCAACTTCCTTGGGATAATCTAAAAATGGAATTATACAAAGGGCTGAAACATTTCTTAAGATCAGAAATCAGAACACCAAAACCACATCTGCCATATCATACTCTCATAAGTATCCTGGTGCTTATTTTATAACAATAAGAAATTATATTTCCCCATTTAAAAAAAAAAGAAAAAAGCTCATTCCAGTACATTTCAGGAAGGATGTATGCACCCACTGCCAAAAAATTCAGTGTCTGCCTGAACACTGTCTGCCTCTAATTAAAGAAAAACTGAAACCCTATCTTTAGGGCACATCACACTTGGAGAGACTTACTATCATAGTCAAAAGATTATCTAACTATCATGGAGCTATTTTAAAATATAAAATCAGGAATAACATATTACTAAACTCTGTTAAGAAGCACTGATTTCCTTATAGTGATTATTGCCTAAAGATAACAATTTTCAAGCCCAGAGACCAGAATCAAGCTTAGAGGTGTTTTAAGTACCAAGCACCAGTAGGAGAAATCTGATCACCTTTACCTTGCAGATGTTTAATGGACTAAAAGCAATAACTAGCAATAACTAACTATATTTCATAATATAGTTAAGACAAAAAAACCTGTCTTTAATATCCAAAAAAGGACTCACTGTAAAAGAGTATCAAAGAAGATTCAACTACAAAATAAGAAGACTGATATTTTAGCAAAAATATAATAATTCATGCATTCAAATGATTTTTTTAAATGTCATCATGACAGGGTAGTTTCCAACAACACTGCTATTGCAAAAACATTTTTTAACTTTAACTCTTTTGATATTTTTATTGTTTAAAAAAATTGTCATTATCTGATGGCCATGTCATTTCTTTTTTTTTTTTTTTTAAGATTTTATTTGACAGAGAGAGAGAACACAAGTAGGCAGAGTGGCAGGCAGAGGGAAAGGGAGAAGCAGGCTCTCTGCTGAGCAGGAAGCCGGATGTGGGGCTCGATCCCAAGACCCCAGGATCATGCCCTGAGCCAAAGGCAGCGGCTTAACCGACTGAGCCACCCAGGTGCCCCTGGCCATGTCACTTCTGACTAAACACAGTATTTGCCAATCTTATTTAATGAAAGATTTTGCTCCCAATGTCTTTTTCTTTTTTGGAGTGGGAGGGGGAACTGGAGAGTGGCAGAGGGAGAAAGAGAACCTTAAGACAGCTCCACACCCAGCATGGAGACTGACTCAAGGCTTGATCTCACAGCCCTGAGCTGAAATCAAGAGGTGGATGCCTGGGGTGCCTGGGTGGCTCAGATGGTTGAGCGTCTGCCTTCGGCTCAGGTCATGATCCCAGGGTCCTGAAATCGAGCCCCACATCGGGCTCCCTGCTTGGCAGGGAGCCTGCTTCTCCCTCTCCCTCTACTGCTCCCCCTGCTTGTGCTCCCTTGCTGTCAAATAAATAAAATCTTAAAAAAAAAAAAAAAAAAAGAGGTGGATGCTTAACCAAATGAGCCACCCAGGCACCCCTACTCCCAACATCTCTTAGCAAGTTTTAAAAAAATAAAAATGAATACCTCTGAAAATCCCCAAGGGGAGTGAATTTTCAGTGTGCCATAGACACTCTGAAGAACTGTAAAAAGACATTCCAAAGATTTTTGAACAATGACAATAGACATAATGCTACCTAAAATACCTACCTGAAGTGATCATAATCATGTCTATAACACATACCCTAGATGAATGGCCCCACAAGAAAATGAATGAACAATGTATTTTTTTTAAGATTTACTTATTTTTATTTGAGAGAGAGCGAGAGAGCAAGCGAGTGGGGGGGGAGGTGCAGAGGAAGAGGGAGAGAGAGAATAACCAGCAGACTCCCGCTAAGCATGGAGCCTGACGCAGGACTCGATCTCCTGACCCTGAGATCATGACCTGAGCCAAAATCAAGAGTTGGATGTTCAACCAACTGAGCCACCCAGGTGCCCCTGAACAATGTATTTCTAAGGAAAAAAAAAAATGGATTCCTCACCTAGTTATTTAATAGGAGGGACTTCAATTCACAGTATTTTATTACATGAAACCAGACCATCCCATTTTGCTCAAAGGATCTAACAGCATTCTTCCATCTTCTATGATGTTTATACACCAAAATTTACTTGGTATGGCTCCTAAATGGAGAAATGTTGAAAGGGAAGTATGTGTATAAACTATGTGGAAGAGGGGCATGTGGGTGGCTCAGTCCATTAAGCGCCTGCCTTCAGCTCAGGTCATGGTACCGGGGTCCTGCGATCAAGCCCCTCATCAGGCTCCCAGCTCAGCAAGGAATCTGCTTCTCCCTCTCCCTTTGCCCCTCCTCCCACTTGTGCTCTCTCTCTTGCTCACTCTCTCAAATAAATAAAAATCTTAAAAAAAAAAAAAAGTATCTTGAAGAAAACAGATGATGTAAAAATTGAAAAAATTTACAGGATTGACCATCCTAAATAAGGTGTTTATAAATCTAAAAATAAAAAATATTTTGTTATATTGAAACTAAAAAGTCACCTTTAAATACAATTACAAGCTCTCAAAGGTTTCAAAAACATTGAATTTGACAATGCATAGACAGAAGTAATGATAAGCCAGAATCTATTAGTGATGTATTTGAGATCTGGAATCAATATTATATTTTGATGGTATGAGTGCAGGAACTGAATAAATTTACAGGACTGTAAATTAATTACAAGCTAGAACCTACTAGAATTGTATCTAAAACCTGGAATCAGTTATTAACAAGATGGACATGTGCCAGACATTCAAAGGATATTGTCAAATGTCGTACATATCCCTTTAGAACTAGAAAAATGTGGAATCAAAATTTAGATTTGCAACATTTAAATTCTTATTAAAATTTCTAATGAAGTTGTTTTTCACTGCCTTTATTCTTCTGTCATTCACAATAAATATATAAATTATATAAATAAAAAATATTGTTATTTGTAAAAGGATTTAAAAATAGATGTTAAATGTTGATGACAAATTTTCTTCATATACAGACAGAAATCATAACACCAAAAACATTGTGCTAAAGATACACAACCTACACATTACTAAGTACCTACTGTATACATGGCACTCCCAGGTATACAAATTTAAAGTCTGAAAATACCTTGATCTCACGAAGCTTAATATTTACCAGGTAGAGGAATTTAAAAATTTGAAAACATCTTAATTTCATGAAGCTTAATATATGCAGGGTAAGATGAAATGTCTATTCTGCAGTCTCAACAACTTGAAAGTCAATAAATTAAACATAAAATGTATTGATTCCTTTGTTATAATAGTGGTAATTAAAAACTGTGTGCAGATCTGACATAAAAAATAACTCAGTACAAAGTGAAAATGAATTGGAGCTCATGAATCAAATAGGATGAACCCTAGAAACGAAGTTCTGTTAAAAAAAAATAGACAAATATATAGAACATGAGTTTAAAAATAAGCAAACCTAAACATGTATTGTAAACTTCCACTCCACAAAGATAAAGTAGCTTGTATAGGATCAAAGCTCCCACTGACAACTACAGAGGCTAGATTCAAAAAAAAACAAACAAGCTACTTAATAGCAGTAAAGAACAACTAAGGGCTTAAAGGGTCAATACCCTAGAGAGAAGGGAAATACCCTGAGGCAAAGCCAACATTCCCTGCTTCTTCCTCCTTAGGGAACTTGCAGTCCCTACACTATTCTATAAGAAGCTAAGCAGTAAGCAGTAGGTAAGAGGATAGGAAACCAAGTAAACCCTCTGGCAATTTCTCTGCTAGGAAGGCAAAAAACTGAAGGCCAGGTCCCACCACAAGAGATGCCCTGGTAAACACCCCTGGCTTTAAGTCAAGCCCCCTGAGGAACCATGTACTAGGAGCCTGAGTGTTAGGGAAAACAAAATAGAAGAGGACTTAATAAATGAAACTTGGCCTCTAATCATCTCAATCTTTAATTGGATCAATGGGATCTGTCTCTAATTAACTGCCTGCCAAAAGAAAATCTCTTTGGAAAAAATTAGCATCCAGAGCTTATACAATTTTGTCCAACAACCAACTAAAAAAAAATACGAAGCATGCCAAAAGGCAAGACTAAAGAACCAAACACCAAAGGAAAAAATATATAGAAATCAGAACTGACCCACAGATAATGAAGATAGTGGATTTCTCAGACACTGCCTTTAAATTACCAGTGATTAATATGTTGAAGGAAAAAAAAAAAAAGGTGAAGAATTTCACCTAAAAAATGGAAGGTACAGAGAGTGGGGGAGGATTAAATGTAAACTCTATAATTTTAAGAAGAAAAAAAAAAAAAAACCTAAAATGAAAAACTCAATAGATTAAATAGAAGATTCAACACAGTACGAGAGACCTGGAAGATAAATCAGTAGGAACTATGCAATTTAAGCATGAAGGGGTGGGGGGGAAGATAAATACAGAAAAAAAAAAACTTAAGAGACATATGGGACACAGTGAAAAGGTCTATACCTAAAGTCTCAGAAGAGGCAAAAGCCGGGGGCAGAAATACTGTCTGAAGAGATATTGGCCAAGAATATTTCAAAACTGACAGAAAACATCCTCAAGCCACGGATTCAAGAAATTCTACAAACTGCAAGCTGGATAAGTATTTCACAAACCTGTACACATCATGGAAAAACTGCTAAAAACCAATGACTTGAAAACATCGAGAGAGGGATAAAAGACAGAATATCTTCAAAGAAGCAGTAATAATCCTGTTAGGTGACTCTAAAACAGAAACCATGGCACCAGAGTATCTTTAAAATGCTAAAAGTATTTCTATACCTAAAAAAAGATAAAAATCTTAAAAATGAAGGCAAATAAAGACATTTTCAAAAGAGACCAAAAAACTGACAGAATTTGTCACCAGCAGAGCCTCACTAAAATAATGAAAATAATTCTTTAATTATGTTATGTTAATCACCATACATCATTAGTTTTTGATGTAGTGTTCCATGATTCATTGTTTGTGCATAACATCTAGTGCTCCATGCAGAACATGCCCTCTTTAATACCCACCACCAGGCTAACCCAACCCCCCACTCTCCTCCCCTCTAGAACCCTCAGTTTGTTTTTCAGAGTCCATCGTCTCTCATGGTTCATCTCCCCCTCCGATTTCCCCCCCTTCATTCTTCCCCTCCTGCCATCTTCTTAATGGAAAGAATTCTTGAAACTGAAGGAAAATAATCCTGAAGACAAAGGAAATGCAGAAAGGCAAGAGGAACAGAAATGGTAAATATGTAGGTAAATCTAAGAGAATATTGGCTGTTCAAAACAATGTCTGTAGAGTTTAAAATATACAGATTAAAAAACATGACAACAATTGCATGTAAATCCTCTTAGATAAGGTTCTTGCACTGCCCAGAAATAATAAATACATTACTTCAGTAAACCAAGGATGTATGTTATAATTTCCAAGATAACTGCTAAGAGAATAATAGAATGTATCTCTAACAAGTTTATAGAGAATAAAAACAAAATAGAAAAATTGCTGATTAATCCAAAAGAAGGCAAGCAAGGAGAAAAAAGGACAAATAGACAAATACTAAGGGAAAAGAAAATACTAAAATTGTAGATTGAGTTGGAAAATTGTACACTGTAGAGTTATATATGTATATTTATACAATTATATTAATAAGTAGACTAAATATGCTAATTAAAAGACAAGAGTTTTCATCAAACTCCATTAAAAAAAATCAACTATATTCTACTTACAAGATAAATGCCTTAAATATAAGTATACAGAATGTTTGGAATAAAAAAAGGGATAGATACACATGCAAAAACTAATCAAATGAAAGCTGATCTAGATATAGTAGCTCTTAAGACAGGAAATATTGCTAAAGATAAAAAGAGACATTTTATAATGATAAATGGGTCAATCATAAAGGAATATAGAACAATTCTATGTAAACACCTAATGATATTGCCTTAAAATATATAAAAACACAAAATATAGAAAAACACAAAAAAGCATATACTATATGATCCCATTTACAAAAGCTCAGGAGAGTGGTTACCTTTGGACTAGTGTATTGACTTGAAGGGGGCATAAGAGAGGCTACTACATTGATATAAACATTCCACTCTTTGATCTGGGTGGTGATTAAAAGAATGTTTTCCTAAGTAAATTCATAAGATACTTTATGATTTCTGCATCTTTTGGAATGTTTGTTATCCTTCCTTAAAAACAAATTACAGAAAAGCTAGAAAGTGATTTAAAATATTCAAGACTGGTTATCTCCAATGGGAAAGAGGAGAAATGACTAACGTGGAACACTTGGAGCTTCAACAGTATTGGTAACATTCTATTTCTTGAACTGAATGACTTATTGTATTAGTATACTTTATAACATGTTACATATGTGCTTTTGAATATATATTACTTCAGAATTTTTAGAAAAAAAAAATTCCTATATATGGCATGTCGAGAACAGCTTATCAGTGAGAGACTGGACTGTAGGTTATTTTTATTCTTTCTTTTTCCAATTTTTACAAAATCAGCCTATACTTTGAGAATTTTTTTTAAAAACTAATTTTTAAAAAAGAAAAGTCCACCTTAATTTTCCACTTCAGTTGCCAACAAAACACTTCAAAAGCATATTTTATATCCCAACGTTAGAATTTTAAATAGCTACACAATAACTGATGGGCTAATTAAATTATTACTACAAAAGAGGCATGAAAATTTTTTTTAGAGTAACGGAAATGTTTATCTTGATCAGGTTGGTAGTAACACAGTTATATATATTCGTCACACTAAACTGGACACTTAAAATGAATGCATTTTATTAGATACAAATTATATCCCAACAAAGTTGATTTTAAAAACTATTATTGCCCAGGTAAATTAAAAGTAATTAGAAAAGAACATTTTACATACAGTACCTACAAATTCCACAGTTTTCACAATGATACTGCTTCTTGTCTTTGTCAAAGAGATGGCATATACTGCAATAATATTCCCCAAACAATGTGCTACATTCTTCGCAAGTCTGTTGGGCCTAAAACAGACACATGTAATTAAAAATTAGATTAAATTTACCAAAACATTTTGTATTATTATTTGAATATCCACAATTTATGTTACAATATATGCAGATTTTTACAAGGTTTTAAACATTTAAATCAAAGATATTGCTTAGAGTTAAAGAAGTCTTACTTGCAATACTCGATTAAATTTTGTAAACCACCTTAACAAACATTTTTTAAAAAGAAAATAGAAATGTGATAAAATCTTACGTGTTGAATTTTTTCACAGTTTATGCACTGCACTTCCTTTACTTTAAAGCGATCTAGCTGATGATCTTCATTGTTATCATGACACAACCGACAAGTATAAAGTTTGTCACAGCAAGGTGCCTAATGTCCAGGGGGAAAAAGAGGTATAAGAAGAGAAAAACAAGTTTACAAGTTTACAATGCAAAAAAAAATTTTCTTCCTCCTCCTTCTGGAACAAAGTCAAAGAATACAACCAATGGATGAGTTTGTAAACTGATCCTAAACATAACTTTTCACTGTTTCTTAGCATATTTTAATTATTCCCCCACAATATCTATGTCTTTATCAAGCTAAACATAATCTAGTCCTTAAAGACTAAAGAATTATGAAAAATGGACATCCTCAGACAGAAGAACTAATCCCACAACACCCTAAACTCATCCTCAGCCTAAATGGCAGGCAGGCAACTTCTTCTGAGACATTTCCAGATAAATTCATTTACCTACTTCAACACTTAAACATTAACTATAATAAAGATTATATTTTAATTCACTTGTAATTATTAATCATCAACTATATCCTTGATATTTTAGAGGATACAATAAGTGTAAGAAGAGATAGTCTTTGTTTTGAAGAGTGGCAGACTACCAAAATCTTTTCTCTCCTTCCTGGACACATGATTGCCCAGCTATACTACAGTTCCCAGCCTTCTTTGATTTCAGCTGTGGCCAAATGACTAAGTTCTTACCAAAATTACCTCAATTGTGACTAAGTTCGGAAGAAATCAGTGCCACTCCTGGGCCTGAGTATTAAGAAACTGGGCATGCCTCCTCCTCCACGCTCCCTTTCCCCTTTCCATCAGACGAAACCTGGACATGGCAGCAACCCAGCTGATGACTGAATTCCCTAAAACATGGCAAAATAATACAATGGGAAAAACTTGTCCCTGGAGTGATCATGTGGGTCAGCCTCATCACCAAACTGGGTAATTCACCTTGAAATTGTTAGGTGGGAAAAAATAAACTCTTAATTCTTTAACCCACATTACTGTTGGCTTTTCTGTTACCCTTAGTAACTTAGCCTTATCCTACCTAGTACATCAAGAAGTTTCCAAGCCAGTAAGTTAACCCAGTACTTTCCAGTATACTGTGACCTTCCAGATCCACTCATTTTTGAAAATTTCTGATGATTTACTACAACACAGCTCATTCCTTAAAGATTTTAATGCTCAACTGGTACCCTTTCTCTCCCAATACTACTCTTGTCCTAAATCTTAGTGATCTGCACATCCATCATGATGGATACTCTGAACTCTGAACTCTCAATTCCTTGACTTTCTTTCTTCCAATGGTCTTGTCCTCCAACCCTCCTCAGCCACATATTCTCACAGTCATACCACAGAACAGTAGTTCTCAAATGTTTTGGTCTCAGGACCCCTTTACACTCTTAAAAATTGTTGAGGATCTCAAAGAGCTTTTGATTATGTGAATTATCTCTACTGACACCATACTATAAAATAAAACTGTAAGTTTTTAAAAATATTACTTCTTTTAAAAATAACAGTAACGAACCCATTACATGTTAACGTAAATGACATATTTTAATGAAAAATAACTAGTTTCCCCCAAAATAGCTGGATTCTCATTTCTGCTTCAAATTCTGTATTCAATCAGTTTAGTTGAAGTATATGAAGAAACTCTGTACTCCCACAAATATATAGTTGGAAAAAGGAGGAGTATTTTAATAGACTTTACAGAGAATTATGGATACTCTTCTCTGATACTACACCAAAACTCAACAACTCTAGTTGTAACATGGGCTCTGAAATTGTATCGGTGAACTTTTCTCCCTCTGTTACATCAAAATCCATTGCTCTATCTTGTACTTTGAATCAATCTTTTACCCACACATTAGTCATTTGGAAAATACCAGTTCACTGAGTTCTGTACCTCTTCCAAATGTTCACACATTTTACAAGCAATATAAAAAAATCCTATTTGTTAACATCACTACCGATCTCATCAGCAAAGTCTTTAGGTACTGGGACCCTTTTAAGCTCACAGAGGCTTATATAAGTGTTTCAAAATTCTAATTTTTTTTTTAAAGATTTTATTTATTTGACAGAGAGAGACACAGCGAGAGGGAACACAAGCAGAGGGGAGTGGGAGAGGGAGAAGCAGGCCTCCTGTCGAGCAGGGAGCCCGATGTGGGGCTCGATCCCAGGACCGAGTTCATGACCTGAGCCTAAGGCAGACGCTTAATGACTGAGCCACTCAGGCGCCCCTCAAAATTCTAATTTTTATGTGAAAGCTTGAATTTACCACTGTCGATTGTTTTCCTTGTAATGACAGTTTCTTTTCAACAGTTCACTTTTCAAGAAAGTGTCCACCAAATACACAAGTCTGAATAATCAGATTTCAAGTAAAAACTGTTATACGAGAAACTAGTTCAGTTCACAATCCAACTGCATAAGAACTTTCCTCACAATGACCGTTTAATTTTAGTATGCAAAAGTGCTTGACGAAAACATCCCATTTCATCAAACATGTAAAAAGACACGTATTCAAGAGTTGAGATTTTATAAAATTAGTATTTTATTGCTTTAATTTTATCAATGACATTCTTAAGTGAGACTTTTTTTTAAAAAAAACTATAGGTGTAGTACAGGTCAGATGCCAGCAGTTTTAATAACTGCTTTTGCACACACTGAAAAAGACAACATCTTAGTATCAGAAAGTAGTTTTGACTCCAAGGATCCCCCGAAAGGGCCTCAGGAATCACCAAGGGGGTCCATTCACCACATTTTGAGAACCACTGCTCTAAAACAAGAACTGAATCCTGTTTATATCATAATTTCAAGCATGAAATTCTCTAACCACTACCTCCTCTTTCCAACTCACTTCAATGTTTCCCTTGCACATACTCTAGTTCCTTCCTTCTCTCTCCCTCTACATACTCTCCTAACCAAAACCCCAAATCTGGTTAAATCCAATTTTCTCCTATATAAGGAATATCCAGATATAGCTGAAGAAAAACACACTGTTCTCACTTCTAAGTCATGATTACTAATAAAAAGTGGGTTTTTATTCATTTCCCTAGTCGATTCCCTCACTCTTCTACAGTCTAGGACCTAAAATCTAGATGATTATTTCACATTACTTCACATATTCTCTCTTTAAACCTTTAAACCTTTTCCTCCACCCTTACACTCCGCTCATAATCTTGATTATTAAAATAGAAATAATCAAAGAGGGGCGCCTGGGTGGCTCAGTCATTAAGCGTCTGCCTTCGGCTCAGATCAAGATCCCTGGGTCCTAGGATCGAGCCCCACATCAGGCTCCCTGCTCAGCGGGAGCAGGGAGCCTGCTTCTCCCTCTCCCACTCCCCCTGCTTGTGTTCCTTCTCTCACTGTCTGTCAAATAAATAAAATTTAAAAAAAAAATAGAAATAATCAAAGAAAACATTTTCTCACAAACTCTATCAACCTACTTGCAAATGTACCTAATACTTGGTCTTCCCTTCTGTTATGTTTTTCTCTAAGGCCAACTGCCCCACTTGTGCACTGGATCCCATCTTTGATTATTCAAGAGCAGTAAATGCTCCTGCAGTTTTTCCTTTCCCTCCTGCATTATAAAAAATGTTATCATTTCATGGGATGCCTGGGTGGCTCAGTCAGTTAAGCATCTGCCTTCAGCTCAGGTCATGATCCCAGAGTCCTGGGATCAAGCCCCACATCCGGCTCCTTGCTGAGCAGGGAGCCTGCTTCTCCCTCTGCCTGCAGCTCCCGCTGCTTGTGCACTCACACTCTCTCTCTGACAAATAAATAAGTAAAATGTTTTCACTTCACTGGGTCATTTCCAATATGCAAACATGCTGCAATACCTCCCATTTTAAAGGGAAAAAAATCTCATGATCCCACATCGCTCAGCAACCACAGACTCTTTTTTTTTGCTCTCTTTCACAACATAACTCCAAGAATTGTCTATGAAGGCTATTTCCAGTTTCACTATTCTCATTCTCTCAAATCCACTCCAATCAGGCTCTGTCCCAATCTCTCCACTGAAACTTCTCTTGTCAAGATCACAAGTGACCTCCTCACCAAATTTCAAAGTCAATTTTCAGTTCTTATCTTACTCAAACAGCAGCATTTGATTTAGTTGATTACTTCCTCCTCAAAATTCTTCACTTGGCTTCTGGTATTTAAGGAAGAAGGAGGGGGAAGGCAAAAAAGTATTTGATACTCAGGGTCAAGCATCTCAGCGCTATGAAACACAGACATATTTATGTGGTTTCTTGGGGGAAAGGGCCAACATGCTGAATTCAGTTCTAGTCATCAAGTTACAAAGAGTAACAGTACATATCCGTGGAAATGGAATCAGAAGGATAGCATTCGATTTGCTTACACAACACTTGGTGAACAACTAACTTTGAAAGAGCTTCACCCAGTGCACTGAAGGAATGTTCACCAAGCCTGGCCTACAAGAAGGCTCTAAATTGTCCTTTCAAGCCTCATACTTTTTTTTTTTTTTAATGAAACAGGAACTTCTATCACCTCTATTTTACAAATGGAGCACTTGCTCAAAAGCACGGATCTATCAAGGGTCAGAGCTAGATTTGGGGGCAGGGCTGTGGGACGCCAAAGCTCAAACTTTCTAAGTAAAATCTTTAAACTGCTTTTTGCAGCAGCAACAACAAAAATCAGGCAACTTTAATTGAATGGGTGCCAATTTTAAAAGTTCTAGATTGACTAGCAATTTTCCTCAAAGTAAACAACAAAAATAACATATGCATAGTGGGCACTTTCCTACACATAATCTATTTAATGGCAATTACACGGCTGTCTTTCTATTTCACAGAAACATTTTCTTGGCAGGCTTAGGCATATCCACTGACTCTAAAATGAAGCTGGCAAGCTGTAAAAGTTACTACAGGAGCTGAATTCGTATTCCGATTCTCCACTTACTTATCCCTCTTCCATTATTTCACCACACACCTGGAAGTCACCCTGGCGAAAAGCCAGCTCAGGCCCGGGGCTGCCTCAGTCTACTTATAGTAGCAAAAGACTTAAATAAACCCATTGATGAAGTGACTGATGTGCACGCCCAGACCCTTCCCAAGCAGAGAGCTTTGCTTACAAAGTGTTAAACAGGAGAAAAGGTGGGGCCTGTGGTGGCCTTGCCAAAACGTTCTCCACGGCAGGAACCCAATTCGAGATGGAGAAGGTACCCTGACAAACGGCTTAGCCTCTAACTTAAGCCCAAACCTAACCGCCTTGCCCACTCCGCCCCCGCCCGGCCCGGCGGAAGCCTGTAAAGGAAGAGCCCATTGAAGTCACCTTCAGGAGACATCCTCTGTCATAGTGCTCGCAGCCCCGCCGCCCTTGCTTTTGGCCGCGGGCGCCATCTTCCCACGCCGAAGCCGCCATCTCCTCCACCTCCCCACAAACTCCACAGACCCTTCCCCCAGAATGAAAACCTCGCCCAGAGTAGCGTCACTAGCACACCCCCTCCCGGCCACAGCAGCCAGCCGAGCTGATATGGCGGCTGAGCACGTGACCCGGGGCAGCCGGATTTCCGGTTCCCGGGGCTACGGGGCGGAAGTGAAGGGAAATGCAATCTCTGTGTTCGACGTTAGTCGCTGACTTCGCTGCTAACGGTAATAACTCTTAGGTTGCTTCTCCTCCCCCCACCCACCCCCATCGCTACTCGCCCAAACTCTGGGCGTGGTTCGGGGCGAGGTGGACCTTAGCGGCGCGGAGACGCCCGGTGGGCCCCCTCACCCCGAGGAAGGGACGCTCTCCGGCCGCATCCGCACCTGTGACAGGGCGGCCCCTCCTTTTCTCCCTGCGGCGGCCCGGAGCCTCGAGAAAGGGGCGGAGCTCCGCGGGACCCTGGGCTCTGAGCCGGCTACCTGCGCGCGCTGCTCCTGCAGCTGCTAGGCGCCAGGGTCCTCGCCGACCGTTCGAGCTGCTGCTTTTACTCGTTCTTCATTCCTTCCAAATATGCATTGACGTTTACTATGTGCCAGTCACCAGTTAAGCATGGGGACAAAAAGCGAGAAAAAACACAAGCCCCACCATGCCCTCTTGGAACTCCCACACTAGTAAGGGAGAAAGACATTAATCAGAGAATCACTGAAATAAGATTACAACTTTGAGAAGTGCTAGGTAGAAGTGTGTGTTCTATGAGAGCTAATGCTAGATGCGATCTGATTGAATCTGAGTGTCAAGGAAGGTTTCCCTGGGAAGCAACACGTAGCTAAAAGATGAGAAGAAGTTAGTATGCAAAGGCCTTGTGGCACGGTGCCTGTAAGAAGCCGCGGAAGGGAAATGTACAAGACTGCAGGATTGACTCAGACACCTCAGAATGCGTAGTGAAATACGATTTGCCTTATAAAGAGCCAAGCCCCTGGAAAATTTTTAAAGCTGCCGGTGTTGGAAGAAAATATTTGCCTTTGGCTTTCTAGCATGGTTTCACAGTACCTAAAAACATGCTGGGAAAAGTAAATATGTTGCCCTTAGCTTTGAAGTTACTAACTCTTACCGTTTTAATTTTCTTTCAGTTCTGTTATGAGTTGCTAAAATCATGGTGAAATGTTGCTCGGCCATTGGATGTGCTTCCCGCTGTTTGCCAAATTCCAA